GCAATAACTCTGAAAATAATTAAAATATCCAGATGAAAATACCCAGGTGCACAACTACACATGCTGATCAACATTCCTGTAAAGTTTCATGACTCTAGGTCAAATACTTTTCGAGTTACGTGCGACACAAAAGAGAACGGACGGAAGAACGGACAAGGGTAAATCTAAATGCCCGCCACTTAAGTGGGGGCACAAAAACTGAAAAACGATAGCGTCAGCATTATACACTATTCGTATTTAATGGTAACATTAGTTGCACAAGTTATTTAATAATTATATTTTGTATTTAATTGAAATATACAGTATAAACTCTACAGAGAAATGCCCTTTGTTGCTTAGAGTTTTTCACTCTAAGATAAAAATAATATTTTAAGGGTCGCTCTGTGTACGTTATACTGTAATAAAAAAAATCGGTAAGTACACGTAAATCCGAGTAGCGTAAGGGTTATATATAGTGTTTCTTATTTCGAATATATATATTATGAGTATGAGTTTTTGCTTCCAAAATATAATGAAAGTTTGTCACATTATTGTTCATTTTTTTAATTTATAAACCTACTATCATAACATTTTTTATTAGATTAATGTATTGCACAAACTTGAAAATGGTAAGCAAAATTAAATGTTTTTGTATCTTGGACAGTTTGTTTTTAAATATTCTTAACATATTTTAAATATTATTTCTGAATTTTATTTATCAACTTTTTTCGGCACATTTGTATGTATATCTTTTTAGATTGCATTTTTAATATGTTTTGACACCAGGGCTCGTCTGTCTGTATGTGCTTTTATGAAAGTGTAACGTAAATTAAATATTCTAACGGGTACAGATAAGCTTACTTCTGTCATACAGCAATATGCGATTCTTACTTTTTTTGCGCTGAAATTAGTTATTTCATGTAATGATAATAACATTTTTACAATCACCAAATTGTAAACAAAAGGGCCCAGAGGGCCCTGGATCGCTCACCTGAGAAATAGGTCAAAAGGTCAAACTGGAGCCCCATTTCACCCCCAAGAAGCACAATTTGAAAACAAGGGACAGTTTAATCTGAGCAATTTTGTGTAATGTCACCATGGAAATTTTTGTGTAAATTTATTTCTAAATTGAACCAGTAGTCTAGATGTTGTTGTTTTCTAACTTTAGCTGTGGCCGCCATGTAGTAATTAAATAGTTCAGCCTGTCACTAAGTGAGATGTGAGCTAATAAAAAAATGACAGAAAAAGAGAAGGAAAACAAACATTGACCTGGCCGGGGATTGAACTGTCGACTTCGATTCCCTTGGGCCAGGTCAATTTTGACCCTTGGGCTTTTATTTCATCAAACATGGAGTTTCCACTACATCCACTAGAGTTTCATGCCAAATATCTTAGCTTTAGTGCTTTTGGATTTTCAGAAGATTTTTTAAAGTTTTTACTATACACTAAATGACCCCCGGGGCAGGGCCAATTTCAACCCTAGGACTTTTATTTGAACCTCTTTTGGATGTTCACAAGAAGATTTTTAAGTTTTCACTATATACATGTAAGGAAAATCAATGACCCAGGGGCAGGGCAAATTTTGACCCTTGGGCTTTTATTTGAACAAACTTGGTAGACATCCACTAGAAGATGTTTCATGCCAAATATCCAAGCTTTAGCTCTTACGGTTTTTTACTTTAATTTTCACTATACACATATTAGGAAAATCAATGACGCCCGGGACGGGGCCAATTTTGACCCTTTTTTTTCTTAATTTGAACAAACTTGTTAGCCATCCGCTAGAAGATGTTTCATGCCAAATATCCAATTTTTAGCTCTTACGGTTTTTTACTTTAATTTTCACTATACACAAATTAGGAAAATCAATGACGCCCGGGGCGGGGCCAATTTTGACCCTTTTTTTTCCTAATTTGAACAAACTTGGTAGCCATCCACTAGAAGATGTTTCATGCCAAATATCTAAGTTTTACAGTTTTTTACAAGAAAATTTTAAAGTTTTCACCATATATACATATAAGAAAAATCAATGACCCCCGGGGCGGGGCCAATTTTCACCCTAGGACTTTTACTTGAACACACTTGGTAGATTTTAGCTAGAAGATGTTTCATGCCAAATATCTAAGCTCTAGCTCGTGTGGTTTTTTACAAGAAGATTTTTGTAAAAAAAAATCTTTTGGTTGCCATGGCAACCAGAGTTCTTTATGGAATTTAATTCTTTGAGCTTTATGCAAGGAACATCCCTGCAAAGTTTCAACAAATTTGGCTTAGGTTTAGGAGGAGAAGTTATGTTAAGAAATTAACGCACGCACGGACGACAGGCCATCACAAAAGCTCACTGACATTGTCCTCAGGTGAGCTAAAAATCAAACTGAAATATGTATGAGGCTGCGTCCAGCAAATTGGAAACATAGTTATAAAAAGCCTTGTCGGATAATAATAAGCAATTTATAAAAAAAATATTTCATCAAGTCCCTGTGTGATTTTAAATGTTCGACGTAATAAAATTGTTTTCTGGTACATTCTTTGAACTCCAACGTCTATTGACGTCACCAAAATCATTACGTTTTACTCAATCTTTATTTTATTTTCAAACAGTAATAGCAAAATATCTAAATATAAATGTCGCAATTCCTACGCCGTCGATAGAGGATGCTTCGACGTCATAGTAACGCTTTTTCTTTACAAAATAATGCTGCGCAAGTAAAGCTTACATATCTACATATTTGCATACCAAAAATCATCTAGATCTGAGATATTGTCAAATTTCGGTCGGAAAGTAGCGAGCTACCTTAACATATATATGTTAACAGTAATGTAGACTTATCATTTTATTTTGTCAAAGTTTTGTTTTCATGTGATAAACAAATTCTCCTCTACGTATTGGAATTTTATCCGCTGTACACACGGATATGGTATATTCATTTGGCATTTCTTCCAAATCATAGTTATTCATTTTAAAACTTAAATTTGTTCCAGTCATTAGGCTGTAACGATGTAACGACCTTGAAAATCACGTTCAGCGTACCCGTCCCTTATATATTTGAAATGTTGATACCATTTCTCTGGATCTGAAATATACGGTACCCATTTCTACTGTTTAGCATCGTACACTTCTATAGAACCCATTGTGACATTGAAAACATAAATGGCAATCCTTCTTACAACGTTTGATCGTTATCGTCAACATTGTCACCTTGAATTGTCACCTCTTCTTTGATGTCATGATCGGGCCATACTGTATCGAATAGCTCTTTACGTAACATAATGGCTTGAAACTCATATCGTGTTCCAACTGAGTCTTTTTGCCGACTGGAGAATCTATTGTTGAGTAGGATCCTCTTGCAACTCGTAAAAGTCTATTATAAATTGACCGTACTTTTGTCTCTTGAGGTAATTAGTCATTAGCAGCGCGATGGTAAGCCTCTTCAAAAGTATGGCCTTTATCTATAGTTTTAAATCGCTCCATATGAGATTTTCTAATTGTTTCTTCATATGTTAAGACGCATGCCTCCTCCCTTCTACGCTTGCCTGGGAGTCCAAGGAGTATGAGTATCTCTATTATCATCACGGTGGCATTTTTCATTATTATCTTCAGATGAGTGTCCATCACCACTTAAGTAGCTGTAATCATTATCCGTAAGTTTTCTCTTCTTGATAGTGTTGAAGTCTAAAATGTTATCGCGTAAACGATCTTGCTCCGGAGTACTCGATTTCAGGTCTATTACTAAATAGCCATGTGGTTTTGATGTTGCCTGTTCAAACCGTTTCATAAAGATGGAACTTGAGGTGGGGTAAATTCTTTTTGCTAGCGTTGCTACTTACTGTCTGTCAATAGGATTATTGAACAACATCAGGTACTGCGTATTTAAAGCGATATCCCTGCAGGCTTTTCCTTGAAGGAATACGTTTTGAGTGAGATAGATGCTCTGTGGTGAGCAATTCTTTGATCGCATTTGGCTCAAGTTCCTTTTACGGGTATTGTTGTACTCTGGACTATTTAAGTAGTCGGGGGATACCTCGTACAAATTCTATCCAGGGTATTCTACGCTGAAGTTCATCGTACAGAGGCTGCCATTGTCCATAACACCATATGATGCGCTCTAGTGGTGGATTTACTAGATTGGATAAAAGCAGTGTTTTAGTCCATTAAGTTTTTCCACTACTAATGCCGATTATTAGACTCCTTAAATATGGTATTGCACGGCCGTGCATATATTTTGACGTGACGTCATTAGCGTTATACAAACATAGTGTAAAGAAGCGCTAAATGTTAGCGTTATACTATAGGCGCGTCAATGAAAAATGACTCTTATTTCAATTATGATAAAAAGAATATTAAATTCGTTGATTACAATTTGATTACATGCAATTGGCTTTACATAGCATATATCAAGACTTTGCTCTGAAAGTCGAGAACGTCTTTAAATTGTGTACTTCGTACTTCGTAAAAAAAATCCTAAGGCGAGGGACGTTGGCTTTTATAATTTTTGTTAACATTGCAATTACTAATTCAAATGTGTGTTCTTTTTTTTTTATTAATTTTTTTATTATTCATTTCTTTATTCCTCCCGTCCAAAAATTACTGGGTCGAAATTAACAAGGCGGACAAAATCCCTCCTATACAACATGTATTGTTTTTTTCCAATGCACTCCAAACATATTAAAGTTGTAACATATATATTTGTTGTTGCCTATTACACCTTTCTGAAATGTTTAACGAGATAACTTTTTACCAGAAAGTCGTTAAAATCAAAGTCATTTTTAAGTAATCAACTCATTACAAATGTCTTGAAAAGAAAAAATATATTCATCATTACAATTGAAAAGAAAATATAAACTATTCAACGTTGTACTTACTGGGCTTTGTCCGCCGTATCATTTTCAAGGGAGGGCTTTTGCCCGACTTGTCATTTTTATCCGGGTGTGGGCTTATGTCCTACGAAGTGGATATTGTCATGTTCAATTTTATGGCCTTCTTGTTTTCAAATATATGTATTGCATTTTCTTTATGAAAACAGGTAACTCCGACAGAAAGTTACGGACATCTTGCGTTTAAAGTAGCATACATGGAAGAAACTCGGGGGAATGTCACAGTGTATGTCACAGGTAACACACACAATTAATTCATAATAATAAATTCTGAGCTTGATGTGATATTTCAAATGAAATGATTTTATTTTTCAATATTTATGAGTATTAGTACTGAATATTTATATTTAGTGTTACGTGGCAATAATCTCCCAGGTCTGGATGCATCTGGATACAGTGACCCATACGTAGAAGTCAGTTTACAGCCACAACGAATGTTTGGATTTACTCGTTCACAGAAGACACATGTAGTAAAACAGACATTAAACCCAGTGTTTAATGTAACGTTCCAGTTGTAAGTGATGTTTATTTTCTGATTAGAATTTTTTATTTATTTCCAAAAATTTAATCTGAAATCATTAATTTAAATGCTAATAGACATCATATTGTTACAGTGTTTTTCATATAATAATTCATTCAATAATTCCATCGAATTTTTTAGAAAAAAAAATCATCGTTAATCTCACCGTACGTGTTACAGTATCGCGTTTTCCGGTTACAGTATAGAATTTTCAAGATTGAGGATTATTTGTGAGGAAGACACATATAGTTAGGTTTCTAAAAGATGTTTTTTTGTGCTTCACTCGTCAGGAACTGACTCGTATATATAGAGGATATTTGTTTAGTTCAGTGTAAGATCGGAATATATTTCACCGAGTGAGCACCGAAAGGTATATTTCACGAGTGGCGCAGCCACGAGTGAAATATGAACTTTTGGTGTTCACAAGGTGAAATATATTTCAATCTTCCACTAAACTAAACAAATTTTCTTTTTATTACATGCAAGGAAACGTTTTAAAAAGACATTAAACCTAATACTGAATGAAAAGCGCGCCAAATAATAATACAACGTGACGTCATTTGCGACGTCACGTCATTAAGTTGGTACCAAGTACTGTGCACGCTGGTATTTCACTGAAACAACGTAAGGGGCTTAAATTCAAAACAGTGAAATTATCAAAGTGGTAATTTCACTGTTTCAAACAGTGAAATTACCAGTTTTATATCACTGATATAGTAATATATTTTCTCAGACCCTGCACCGCAGATTTATCTTTACATGTTCTCATAAATATTCAGATTTGACAGATTAAAAATTTGAATCGGGAGACCAACGCATTTTTCTCCCATTCCGACATTATTTAAGCATGATTACAAAAAGTAAACCTACCAAACGTTAGTCCTTTGTAACCGAAATTTCGGTTACAGTTTAGATACTAGTCTAATTTCAAATAAAGTTCGTATATGCATTATTTTTTTATAAAATAAGCCATATAATTTATAAGCTTATATATTCTTGAAGGGTTGTAGTACATTTTTTCTTCAAACGAAAAGTTTGCTGTTTCCTTATTTTAAGTACTTATATTCAGATGGAGACTCTTTGCAGGGTAAGAAATGTCCTTTGTAAGGATTGTTTTCACAACAACAACAAAAACTGTTATCAAATTGTATAGAGAGAAGAAAGATTATTGCTTCCATTACACATTAGTTAGTAATGTAAGTAGCCTGTTAGTTAATAAAATAGAGAAAAACAGATTACTTAAAGAAAGTAGATGTGTTCATATGGCGGTATCATGGAACGTTCAATGTGACACGTAAGTGCCATTCCACAAAAAGCGGCATATTATCCCAAAAGTAATAATTGCGTCTGCCCTAAGTTGAATACAATGGGTGAAACTAAAAAAAAACAATTTTGAAAGGGGATCGGAGGTTATGAAGCCTGCATACCACAGATCAGCTGTCAAAAGACACAATTAAAAGAGAAGGCAACATACCCTAGGGTGATTAAACAGTATTCAAGTGAAAAATACTGCAACCTTAAAACTTATTTAAAGTTGAAATTTCCATCTAAGTATCTAAAAAGGGTTGTTATTCTTGGATTTTAGGTTTCACCGACAATAAGGTTATGTGAAAACATTGCTGCTTTACTGTAAAGATAGACCACAGATACCTCTTTGTGTTTGACAGAATGGATGAGATTCGACACGCATGTGTACGACAGACTGACGAATAGCAATCGTCCCAGTAAGCTGAGATTTAAAAGTGTATGCATCGATAATATATATATAAAAATATCAAGGTCTAAGCTTTAACCGAAATCTGGGTATAAACTAACAAAATCGGATAAAAATCGCTAGGTCTGCTGTAACCCTACACCTCGCTCATTGTTAATTTTTTCAAACGTATCTGACGAACAAAAAAACAGGTTCAATAAACCTTTTTGAAGGCATGCTTAAATAATGTCGGAATGGGAGAAAACATGCGAATTTTCAATCCGTCAAATCTGCACATTTATGACACAATAAAGAGATAATACTGCAATGCAGGGTCTAAAGAAATATATGACTGGAAAAGCACAAAACATCTTTTAGAAACTAAACTACTTGTAGTATGGACCAAAATAAAAATCACCTACCTGTTTTCCCAACAAATAATCCTCTATCTTGAAAATTCTATACTTTAACCGAAAAACGCGATACTGTAACACGTTCATTACGGTGAATATAGCACAACCTCACATATTTCGAAGAAACATGTCTTTTGTCAACCTTGTGTACTTGTCACAAAAGCCTGCAACGATGACCTGACGAGCCCGTATATAATATATATATAGATATTTGGCTTGAAATATTTCCTGACAGACATCTTATATAATCCCACACAAAAGGGAATTTGTATTGAATATGGAAAAAGTCCTTCTGAATATTGGAGCATAGCACAACACTAAATTCTAACACTGCATTTTTATTCTGACTGATTATCCTTTTTTTTGCACCATAAGTCAGTAACTGTAGACTTAAAGATCTAGTAACAAATATGTTTCATTTGATGGAAGACTGTTCACTTTCTCTTTCATTAATTTTTGGAAGACTTGAAGGTCGAATGTAAGCATTATTCATCATTATACCAGTTTTTCAATAAAACACCATTTACAATTGAAAATGATCCCAAAGTGTTTTAGTAGCTGATTTCTCTGCCAATAAGGTTCACCTTTTGATCTTGATCTAGCTGAAAATTACGTGAAAGAAAAATTTGTGTTGATGTTATTGTGTTTCTTCAAGTAATTACACAAGTTATTTCAGGTTATTTTATCTTGAGTTGCTTGTTATGTTTTTGTACTAAAGTAGTCAATAAATCATCGACACGCGGCAAGAGGTAAGCGTCTTAAACAGATTGTTAAACTTGCTATAGACTGGAGACGCTCAGGTGCTATAATACCGCGTTTTAAGATTTCATTAACCTCAGTCCTTTCTATTTCACGCTTTCCTAATGGAAGCAACAGTTTCACATACATTTATAATCATGTTTTTGTAACGCCGTAATTCATAACATTGACAACTTGCCTATACCGGTCCTTCATGTACCACGCAAATTATAAAAGTTCACATGGCATATACCTCGAAATTGTTTTTATAAGCTTTTTGTTCTTTTCGTTTTTTAGCCCAAATGTTTCTAAAGAATGCCTTGACAAGTTGGGAACATGCATTTTGTTTTCCGTTTTTGACCATGACACTATCGGGAGGGATGACTTTGCTGGGGAAATCATAGTTCATATGTCTACAATCCTGAAGATCGGTATTGACAAATCAATGGACAGGATGCCAGCTATGATTATGCCATTAAAGAGGCCAAAACGACCAGTGGATGGACCATATGTTGTAAGTTTTAAAGTTTTACAATAGGATTTTACTACAAATGTCAATACAAGCTGGGAAAGCCAGAGCACAGAAGCAATGAAGAGCTACTTTTGCTAAGACCCATATGTTTGTGTGTAATATTTTTTGGGATAATTTTTCGCCGTCCGAAAGTTTTGAAATTTTGATTTACTTTTTTATCAATTCAGATGGTGAGTTTTACACTTATTTTGTGCTAGACAAAATTTGTTAAATTGTTTTTTATGTTTGCAGTTTAATATTTAATACCGTGTGTGTGACCCGTGATTATCAATCACAGCTTTGCAGATCCTTCCCATACTCCCTATTAAGTTTCTGGCCGTTCTAACGGGTATGGCTGCCCATTTTGAACCAACATGGCTCCTGAATGGCTCTAGATTGCAGCTGACAAAATGACATTCTAACCTGCCGCTCAATCCACGTGTGTTCTATTGTATTTAAGTCAGGTGAGCCAGGCAGTCCTGGACCACCCTGGGCGATCGTCCATTTGAATGAACTGATCGCCGCTTGCTCAAGCATGCAACCTAACCAGGTCGTCCATGTATAGCTGACCAGTCAATCAAGTTGGTTCGTCGACCCCACCTCCGCGCCATAGCTGAACCACCTCGCTCAGGAGCCTGAAACAGTTCAACTCATCTTCTGCAGATCAAAGCACACCTGTCTGGACCCCAAAAACATTACCAAAGGTCATTTTGAAGAGAAGTTACTGTACACCGATCGCCGCAGAAATTTGTGCTGCAACTTCTCAATGGTAGATAGAGTCAAATGCTTTTCAGCGTTGGTTATATGTTATCTCATGATCAATCTGGGGTCATTTTTAGCACAAATTAACACATTTTTTTGGTCACAAGTCCAAAATTTTCTTGGCGATACAGGGACTACCGCCCCCTCCAAATATAAAGGGGGCACATCCCCCTTCTGTCAACCCCCTGATGTATCTTTTGGTTGGGAGCCCGCGCCGAAAAGTGATCACTTTTTTTAACAACATTTCTCAAACAAAAACAAGTGTTGGGGTCCTTAATAAGGCATTTTTTCACCATTTGAGCCAACAATAAAGGAGAGTTAAAAAGGCGTTAAAAGGCGTGTATATCGCGTAATGGATTAACAGAAATTGATGAAACTGTTTCAAACAGTGAAATTATCAGTTTTATATCACTGATATATTTCTATAAACCACCGTAAAGCATATAATAAATTACGATCTTACACTGAACTAAACAAATATCCTCTATTTCTTTCAGATATTAGCACAACGTGACTGGGATAAAGATGCCAAGAAGTTCATCAATGATCGTTCACGGTTTATTGACCACCAGCCAAAGCCCTTACACAGATATTCATTCACTGGAAAAGGCTTTTTCTCCAATTTGTTTGCAAATTTGACGAATTAGTTCTTGGCTGGAAAATTTATTTAGATCAGAGTTAGCCACTTAATGAGGAATAGATATTGTCACAAAGATATTTTTTCCAAACAAAGAGATTATCCATTTTATTAATCTGTGTAGTAATAACCTGTTGTTAAAGGAATATTTTTATCAAAGAATTTTCAACATATTATTATGTATTTGTAATTTTGTGGACTTGTAAGGTTGACTTGACTTAAAGATCTGGGAGTTGTTATACAGTTCCATTCTGTTACTAACAATAAACATGGAAACCTTATTTTACTTCTTTCTTCATTTTTCAAGGTAAGCATTTCATATATTTATTTATATTTATTGTCATTTTTTTCTGTAAAAGTTACAGTTCAATGATGATTTAATGGTTCTGAAACAATTCTTAAAAAATTTGTTTTTATCAATAATTTGTCCACAACCTCTCTCACACTAAGCAATTTTCCCCATACTTTCATGTATTTTCATGATATATAAATGTTGATTTTACATTTTGACCTGCAAAAATGTGCGAATGATTCTCACAAAATTAGTTTCCATTGTTTAATTAAATTAAGGTCCAAATAAAGTTTTAAGATTTTTCACCTTTTTAAGAGAATTATATTAAAAGAAGATAAATGAAAACCTTTGATTTCATGAGTTTAATTTGCGATAAAACATATTAATCATGACTGGAATGAACATACCTTAAACATTTTAATACAAATTTGAAATTTGAAAAAATATATCCCATAAAATAATTTGTATGAAAAAATAAGTGACTTATTTTATTATGAACAGCGCGAGGCATGTTGTATGTTGGCGGAGTTATGCAAAATAGCTGGAATAGACAAAACGAGAAAAATTTGTGAAAATTTAATAAAACTAATTCAGCAACGAAAACACAAAAATACTTGATTTTGAAAGCAAAAATATATAAAATAAAATGAATTACGACTGTCTAACAACCGGGTTGCATGTTTGCATTCTCAGACTTCGATCAAGAATGTCGACTGAAAAATCTTCATATTCCAATTAATTAAAGGGCCATAACTCAGCAAAATATCATGAACTAAATAAATAATTACAAGTGCTATTTAATTTGTATTTAACATACAGCTTATTCAGCTACAATACGGGTGCTCATTTTTCTACAATATTTACATGAAAATCTTATTGATAACACCACTGAGGTCCATGACATTAACAGGCAACTCAGCAAAAATAAAAACCTAATATTATAACAATAAGCCGAGCCATCCCGCCCAATACCATGACGCTTCCACGATCATGCAGACCTTTCGACGGTAAATTCTGATAAGTCCGTTGGCATGACTGAGATTGTAACGAGACTCGTCTGAAAACAGGACAGTATTCTAGTCACGTCGCCGCCAGTGAAGATGCGTGCCCACCTAATACCTGATGATGGCGTAAAGTGAAAAGACCGCCTTAAAAAGTTATCACAACAACTCCATCCTTCGTGAACCCAAACAGTTCCCCGAACAAACAAGTTGTATAAAAACGGCTTTTAATTCAGTCAATTCTCACTATTTTATGGATATATAAAGCGAAAAATATCACTTTGAAAGCTCTTTGATTTTTCAAATGTTTGTGAAGTTGGCGGCCTGGCGGCTTGAAATTGTTCAGATTTAGTAATGTTATAAAAACAATTAAAACGGCACTTTATGAAGTTCTAAAGTTAATTTCTGATAAAAGTGAAAACTTAAATACACATTCACGTTGCGTAATCATTCCGTTTGATTTGGATTACCCGAATATTTAGATTTGGAAACCGTTATTGGATTTTTGCACCTGTAACGAAGCATGTGAGGATTGCGCTTCGAAAATTTGTATAAATTTCTCGGGTAGATGCGTGTGTCCTGATTTCTTTGATGTGTTTGCTTATATTTTTTAGGTTTATGAATTGTTCAAAGAGCAAAAAAAGTGTAAAAAAGTGCTATAATGGTAAATAAGGCTATAATGGTACGCTTGACGCTGCGTAAGAATCGAATTCAAACGCTGGGTTGGCTAAGATAGAACTGAACTTTTGGCTAAACTCAACTAAGAATTTATTTATAATAAAAAAACTCAAATGTACACTGAAATTATTATAAAACAAAATATATTAATATTTACGAATCACTTCGTTCGTTGACTTATGTTCTTCTAAAGTACGTATATAATTACAATTCTTTGTTGCTTTACATCGTGAAGTGAAGTGTAGATATATGTGTAAGTTAAATATTTTACTAAGTAAATGTCTGAAGAATTTTGAATGGAATTTTTTTATCACAGTGTCCAAAAGAGAAAGGCTGCTGGGTCTCCGTTGCATGTACTTTTGTTATTCTTTTTCACGCACCTGAGCCGCAACTAGGGTGTCTCGTGATTTCCAGCCAAAACGATTTCCGCGGGAGATGTACGTCATTACCTGGGAGTTATCCTCGATCAATGAAAACGCTCCCAGCCGTCTAATTGGCCAATCGCATGTACCGATACAATATAGAGACTGTTAGCCAAATCACACAGGTAAACATTTTTCTACAAAGAAAAATAGACCCGCATGTCGGCGATAAAAAACATATTTCAACGACAACTTGATAAGAGCCCCTAAGTCATGATGTATTAATGTTGTGTAACCTTGGTTTCAGACAAATAGTTATTTTAAATTGTAACTTTCGTGTTACGCGCATGAAGAAAATGGTACGTCAAAAAAAGAGCATTCTAGGCATTTAGAAGTAAACAGAAATATCTCTTATTTTGATTACCCCTGTACTAGAACAAAACGCAATTCAACAAAAGTTCTGAAAGAAAGAAAGAATGACTTAACAAAAGACCATGGGTCAGTATCTCGAAGCTATCGTTAGCATAACGACTGTCGTAAGACTCTCGTTAAGGTTTTCACTGGTATCTCGAAACTCTCGTTATTAACGAATAATCGTTAAAATGCCCAATTATTAACGGATGCGTAGAAGGTGTCGTAAAGCTCTCGTGACTATCACTTTGGCACAAAAGATAGAATATTTCGAATTTAAAATACACAAAAAATGAGAATTATATCAACTTATTGATAAAAATGATGAACCTACATAAATACACTGAGAGGATGTTCTAACTAGACCTTTGGTAAATCAGCTATATTTTTTTAATGTATTGATCAATTTAGGTTATATTTCGGATATTTATTACTACACATAAGATGCATACTTCTGTAGAATTTAATTCAAATCACATTTCGAAAAAAATGTCAAACTTAACAGAAAAAAACAGTCTTATAAAAATTCAAAGTCGCAAAATGGCGGCAAAATAACAATGTGAAAAGTCACTCAACAATATCACTTAACTGTCCTGGTAAAACTCTCTGGTTTAATATTTGGTGTGACCACCTCTAGCTCTCAGTAAGTGAGCACATCGTTGTCTCATCGACATAACATAGTTTGAAATAGTCTGCTGAGGAATGGTGGCCCATTCTTGGATCAGCATCTGCTTTAACTGAACAAGATTTGCGGCGGATTCGGTCCGTTCCGAACACGGCGGCCAAGTTCATCCCACTCAATGCTCAATGGGGTTCATGTCCGGGGATTTAGACGGCAATGGAAGAACTCTCACTTGTTGCTGTCGTAGAAGCCTCTCCGTGGTCGCAGCTGTGTGCGGGGTCGCTCCGGCACGCAGGTAAGGAATGGCCTCCGGAATCAGAATCTCCTGTTGATATCTCAAAGCGTTGAGATTACCACGGATGACTACGAGGTTGGTTTAGTATGAAAGGAAATCCCAGCCCAAACCATCACCGATCCCCCACCGCAGTGGTCACGCTCGTGAACGCAGCTGTCGTTTTAACGCTCGCCTCGACGCCTATAGACGCGCATCCTGCCGTCACTGTTTTTCAAGTTGAAACGGCTTTCGTCTGTGAATAAGACGTTGGCCCATTCAACACGAGTCATTTTCTGGTGACGGCGGACCCATTGCTCACGTCTTCGGGATGACGTCGTAGACAGGCACGAAGGCCTCTTGCTCTTATACAGTCAGGAGGCGGTTAAGTACGTTTGCTATGATCTATAGTGCCATCGTCTGCCTGGCGGTTGAAGCTGCAGTTCTAAAACGGTTGTTTAGGTGAACAGCAACAATCTGGAGTTGTCACTTTTCTGCGAGGTTGCCTGCGCTCATCTTCAACACGACCTGTGCGCTGGAACTTGGTGAAGAGGTTGGTGATTGTAGAGACATGCCTGCCAAAAATTCGAGCAACCTGCAGAGAGAACAGAAGACATGCAACTTCATATCATATCTGTACATTTTCTAAGCTATAAATGCTAAAATAAGTTGATTAAATATTGTTATTTACAATAAATTATTTCACGAAGAATGATTTAATACCATATTTAGATTAACAGAATATTTTAATGATGAATACCTGTACTCGTGATGAGCCAGTCTGTAGCATGCCAATTGCGCGAGCGCGTTCTGCACTGAATTCACAAAATCTCGTGCATAATTATAAAACTACACATGTAAGCACGTGCAAATTGGAATATCGTCACGGTCGATGATTTTCGTGATTTTTAAAAAGCATTGGCCACGTAATTAATTAATGCAAATAATAAAGTCCATACCTTTTAGCATTATTGAATTATTTTAATTTAAAAAAGGTCTAGTTAGAACATCCTTTCAGTGTATGATATTTTATTTCATTTTCTTAAATATCAAACATATGCTCTTTTAGTTTACATAAAAATGTATATTTAAATGCAGATGAAAAAAATCATATCATAACTGAAGCATCGAAAGGAATAAACTTTGTAATGTGTAATTTTGCACAATACAATATAAATAAATATTTGCATGTACATAATGTTAAAAATGTAACAAAATTCGGTATTTTTTACAGAATTATATTTCGAAAAGTTATCTGTGATGTAATGTAATGATTTAATGACTAGAAGAAAAATGCATTACGTTACACTGCAATAATCAGTAATCAGTTCTATTTTTACTTGCTATATTTTAATTTTTAATACATAATCCTATTTGGTTGTTTGTAAATATAACCCGAGCCGTCAAGCGAGGTTTATATTGCAAACAACCGTTTATATACGGCCATATAACCTGTCAGGAATATTTATAACGAATTTATAAAGCTTCGAACTTTCTTTTTAAATAGTAAAAGTAAGATTTCCAGCTCGTGAAAATATATGGAAATTTATCATGTTTTGTGAAAAGATTCTATTCACTTAAACGAAAAACATCTTAATATTTCTTTAAAACTAAACCCATCATCATTATCATAGATAATAATCA